GAACGTTTGGCCACACCTCGACCACCCACTTCACCCAACTGATATGCCAAATTATTGTTGTTTGTAGCCACGTCTTCTTCTGATGTCTCCTCATTCTCATCCTCTTCCACATAAATAACCGGCAGCGTTTGTAAATTTGGATCCTCAAGCATTTTCATTAACAACGCTGATTTGGTAACAATTTCCTGTTCGTTGCGCAAGTCTTTCTCTAATTTACGTAACATTTCGTATTTATTTGCCACTTCTAGTTCGTTAAATACCGTATCAGCGTAGTCGGGTTCTTCGGGTAGCGTGCCTAGTTCTTGTCCATTGGCAGACATTTCGGCGTTTAAGGCGCGGAGGAGCTCTAAAGAAAGATGGAGAGATAGAAGGGAGGATGAGAAATTGTAGTAAATTAGTTGGTACAAAAATGTAATTCTTAGGGTTGTGTAATAAATAAATACATATAAATAAGTACACATTATTGTGTGGACGCTTTAAATATTTACTATAGACAACATTTGCATTCAATACTGTTGATTATCTTAACGCAAATAGGGTGCCGAGGATAGCGCGAACGTAAGAGACTTTGTCAAAATAAACTCACTAAGTGTAGTTTTTTATGGAATGAGAAACTTTTTCACGAAAAGTTAACAGGCGCTTATAATAAATTATTTCATATGTTGTTTGAAAAGTGTTGTTATGTATGAAGCCCTGTGCAACCCAGGTAGTCGAATGAAATGCTAAATAATAAGCAAAAGCACAAGTTGCTATATCATATTATGTTGTATACTTTTAGGCACCCTATTTCACACATACTTATTAGGGCTGGGGAAATCATCCGGATTTTGCAACTAACCGGATAAACCGAGTATTCGAATATACGGAGATCTAAATGAAAAATCCGGATATTCCGCAAGCTAAAATATTCGGATATTCGAATTATCGGGGTTTTTGTTAGGGCAAAGTAATGAAGTGTGTTATTTTCCTGCGGCTATTCAATTTCTTTAATTTACAAGTTTTATTTGATCAAACCTATTTAGAGGGCTGCATGAATTCATTCAAAATGGGCTTATAAATTATTCATGTACGAAACGAATGAATGATTTTTGCTTAAAATTTTTTTGAATTCGAGGTAATACCTGTTCTGATATATGTATGTGTTGACATTAAAATATTAAAAAAAAATGATTACCCGGCGCTCATACATGCGAAGTAACAAGTTTTCTATTTCTACGCACAAGATTTTTGCATAAATTTTTAAATTTTTAAATTTTCAAAATTGTCCTTTGTGAATTTCAAAGGCTCATACAAATGAATTAAAAGGTTCTACAAACTTGGTATTGGGGGGAAAAATATCGTTTCGTAAAAATAAAGAAAATCCGCATATCCGAATAAATGCACAAAAGAATATTAACCGGATATGCATACTAACCGGATTCTATCCGTGTCAACGGATAATCCGCATGAATATTCGGATATTCGGATATTCGAATATGCGAATAGTCCCAGCCCTAACACATATATGTATATGTATGTGTAATTACATATGTACCACTCGTTAAAAATAACTTAAAAGTCTACTAAAATTTTTAAATTCCATATTACAAAATGCATACTCAGTGCTGAGACCGTTTTATAATACTCGTATACTGATAAGAAACAAATAATCCAGAAATAAATAGGTGCCAGCTCGCTCCTTCTTTACTACAGCCTGTCTATTGTGGCTATTGTGCTGTCATTTAGTGATCAATCAGTGACAAAGAAATGACCACGAAATGTGCAAAAGGCTTAGTGTGTTCGAGTAACCATTCAATGATTTATGAAAATCACAACTTTGCAAAGCGTACTGAGCGCACGCTGATGCTCTGTATACATGTATGTATGTGCATATGTGCATGTGTACATAGAGTTATGTACGGCAGACGGAAAATGGTGAATGGAATCTTCAAGCATTGAAGCGGAAATTAAAACGCTTTGATTTTCGCTTTACAGCTATTTTTGTAACTGTTGATTTAAGCTAAAAATAGATTTATTTAAATGAGAGTTAAAAGGGCGATATGGAGTTAAGAGAGAGAGAGAAGTTTCATAAAGATTATACATTAAATTTATGTACATAGGTACGCAGGTATGGAAAAACGTGTAACTTCTATAGTTTTGGTGTTTCCATTCTCAAATTTTTACAGCGTACTCCATAAATTTTGACAAAATTCAAAATCGAACATGGTATAGATAATAAAAAAATGCAATTTTTTAATGCAAATTTTTTTTTTTTAATTTGTCTTACACTCTCATGGAAAGCCGAGGTAATTACGCACATTTTGTTACCTTAACTGGCTTTCTCCGACAAATAGTTTTTTAACTACAAACAATTAAAGAAAGATACCTCTCCGTGAGTTAAAAATTTCGGGATTTTTTTATCGTGGTTTTCGAATGTCATGGCGAAAAAAAAATTGGTGTCTTCTTTTTTTCGATAAAGAATGTAAAAAACTATATTTCACCACAAAAAATATTGAGGTGCAAATATTTAATGGAATGACCCATACATAAATTATTATTTTTTTCATTAATAAAAAACCATTTGATGCCTTTAACTAATTTTTTTTGAATTCTTGTTATTAAGAAAACAACTCTTCAACACAAATAGATGCGTTAAAATGTAACAATTCCCACTCTGCAATGAAACATTTTTTACGGAGAAAAAGGCTTATCCGACACTGCGTGCGCAAAAAAAAAAAATTTTAACAGAGTACAAACAATTAAGCACTTAAGCTAAAAGTGCTTCCACTATGACACTATGTAACGGTACCTCGTAGGACTTTGAAAGCTCTGACAGCTGGTTTGGTATGGCGGTAAGTAATCGATTTCTGTCAAAAACGAAAAAACTGAAACATTTTGTCGCTTACGTCCTTTTGGCGGTTAGGGGCTCGATATGTTATAGTCGTCCGATTTTGTCGCTTACCGACAATGATTATTGCGTTATAAAAATACAACAGCTTACCAAATTTCAGTCGTGGGGCATAAAAAGCAGACTAATGTTTAACACTTTAGCGGCCATGAGTACGTAAACGATGTTTTTGCCTTAATGCTTCTTCCTGTTCCATATGCTTTTGGTTCGGTAAAAGGTAATTTTCTTGTATTCCTCCGTGGAATATTTTTAGCAAAAAATCGAAAACCGAGTGGCCAGCTATTTGAAAATTTAATATTTCTTAAAATCGAAAGTGTTTTAAGCTGACATGGTGTTAAGTAGTCTTGCCACCTATTTAAAATAACCATATCACTAATATAATATTTTTGAAAAAAAAATAAAAAATTTAATTCACTTGTCCCGAACAAAAATGTCGTTTGAAAGCATGTATATACATACATATCTAGGTTAATAATAAAATGAGTATAAAATAAAATGGATGTGAAAAAGGTTTAACTCGTAGAACTTTCTAGATAGCGTTGCCAACTATCTGAAAATTAAAATGAGTTGAATATGTAACTTAATTAAAATATGACCGCGATATTGGCATCTAATGAAAGGTAATTAAGAAAATTGAACTGTGAACCTATTCCATAAAATTATAATTCGAAAAATTTAATTACGTTTTCAATTTAAAGAAAATGTTTTCTGAGTTTTTTCCTTTGTCAAGAGGGCGGCAAGTAATTTTCGACAGGGCAACGTCCGTCGGGTCTGCTTGTACCCTATAAACATAACAGTGCCGATTCCATTACTCACTGCATTGGCGTGCGTAAATAACTGTACTAAAAACAAACGAATCTCATGCAACTGACAGATAATCAACAAAATTCTGCGTATGCATAAAAATAAAACCTACTAACGCACAAATATTGAATGCAACGTAAACAATTTGCTGAAACGCCTGTAAGTATGCTACATAAATATATGCAACATGATTTAACACACACCAGCGACGCGCTGGCAAATAATGCGTTCTTCGCTGCAATCTCACTTTCCGCTTTACTTGCTTTATGTCAGCTGCAGCAGCATAGTCTGAAAGTGACTGTTGTTGGCGCATTTTCGGGTAAATTTATCTATGGAATTTTCACGGAATTTCAGCTTTTTCTCAAGCAATTTTTTGCTTTGGATGTCTGCTTTATTAACTGTAGTCGTGTTGGTGGGAAGCGCGGTGGCAATTCACAAATTGATTATAATTTATTATATAAAATAATTTTTGTTTTACCTGCGACAGGCTTTGGTCCACATTTTTGTATTTTTGTACACACCTCGTGCCGTGGAATTACGTTTACTGCTCACTGAATCGAACTATGGTGCAATGTCATCAAGCATGTATGTAATTTAAAGTTTTAATATTTACAAAAAGTTACTGAATTGTTGTTGAATATCTAACTACGAGATGAGTGCTTTATAAGGACTGAAAATAATTGTAGTTAAGAGCCAATGCCACCCTTGATGGCCCGAGATTTGATAGAAAATGTTATTTACAAAATTTAATATGCGAATACCGTTCGTATGAGATCGGTAAAACAGTTAGGGTAATTTTCTCAAGTAGCTTTTAAAATTTAAACACAAAGCTTGTTCTAAATTTTTTATTTATTTTTTTTGAGGGCAGATACATTTTAAAGCTATATTGAGTCCTATCAGCCAAAAAGAAGTAAAGGAAGTTTTTTTCGAAAAAGTCCTAACAACCCAAAAAGCACTAAAGGAAAATTTTTCGAAAAATTTTCTTTTTGTTGCAGAAATGTTCATAGAGCATTTAGATGCATTTCTGCATCAGAAATAAAATTTTGAAAAAAATATTGCTTGCGTGCACATATTTTTTTTTTGTTAAAATGTGGCAATACTAACAACCATTTTTCTGGAGCTGACCATATTTTAATTTATTAAAACTTTTTTGAATTTTAGATATTCATGATTATTGAAAACTTTTGTTTCGAAATTCAGTTTTTCTCAAAAAGCTTCCGTAGTTATGATTAATGTATCACTTGTGTATGAAATTATCCATTTTAGCTTATTCGAAAAAATTTAGGAAATTCGAAAAGTTGTTTTCTAATTTTTACCATCTACAATTTAGTATACAATTTTTAAGGGTGAAATAGTATACCCTCTATCTGGTGCTCGCTATAGTTGCTGAGACTTACATATAATATGAAAGTCTTTTTATAATATTTATCAGTGAGATTAATATATTTAAGTCTTCCAAGACTTTTATTTTGAGACTTATGTTATAGAAATCTTTTCATAATAATTATGAGTGACGAACATATTTTTTTAAGTTTCAAAAGACCATTCCGGGATTAGTTCGGGACAAGTTACGGATCACTACGGGACTACTTTGCATCTAGTTTGGGACAATTTCCGGCTTAGTTCGGCGCCAATTTGGGGCTAGTTGTGGACTG